CACCACCTGCGCAACCACGCATTTATGTCCTCAATTTGATGATCCCTGCCCAGTCCTTTCCCTTCAACAGGGAGGATGGACGAGAACACCACTTGCACTCTGAATTATTGTATCCTTCTTCCCAGTGCTACATAATCCGCAGTAACCCACTCAAGGTCTTTCTTGGCCGTATCGTTTGTTCCCATGTGGAGAAGCAGGCTGGGATTGTGATCCAAAGGTTTGATCAGTTTGGTAAGCCTCTCAGTCACATCCTGAATGCGAGCTCCCGGTAAGCAGCATACCTCTCGAGATTCCAGGTCCGGACGGTAGATGGATGGCTCAGTCCCTCTTAGAAGGGAGTCCCTGACCACCATCACCCATCATTTTCTTTTGGGGGTGGTGGCCGTGGAACCCCCATCCCTAGGACTACACATCCCATGCCTTCCAGTAGATGGTGTTCCCTTCCGGTTTCTTCCTTGTGAGGTCCCTTCCAAAGCATTCAGCACTGTAGAGCCTGTGGAGAGAGCCTGAAAACGATTATTTACTTCTATAGCATTGGGGGATTCCCATGCTGGCCTTTTCCCCCCTTCTAGAAGTTACATGCTGCCAGTTCTCTTCCTGGTCACGTAGTGCCCTCTCTGGCTCCTCTGCCTGCCATGCTTGAAGGATTAAATGCTGCCTTCTATCGAGGAAGTATTTATCCTCTCTGATCGAGCGTAGGGTCGACACTTGGGCCTCTAGTCCACTAATTTTTTCTTCCAAAATGTCAACCAGCTTGTACTTCATGCAGATGAAATCCGTTCTTTCTTCCGGGAGGAAGATAAACATGGCACACGCTGTGCAGGTAACAACAGCAGACCTATCTCCATCCATCGCTGCTGTCCTGGAAAAGGGATTTAAAAAGAAAGAAAGGCAAGAGAACCTCGCCCCCTTCCCAACTCCCTGTCTAATCTCTCTGTTAGCACTAACCTGTTTGCAAGCTTCTTGGTCGCTTGCCCACTGACTTATAAAGACCTGGAGTGCCTGAAAGTCACTCCACCTACCAAGGCTCAGCCAATCAGCAGAGGCTTCTTGAATTCAAACTTTAATTAGAAGCCAACAGTTTCCACCTGCCAATCACAGCGCACAGTCCCTGGACGGGAGGAGGAGGGCAAAGGGGAAGTAGGGAAAAAAAACCTCAATTTGTTAGATATCCACATTTAAACAAAACAATAGTACTGGAGAAGACCCATGCTGGAGTGGCTGTTGATGTTACAGGCTAGGACTGAAGTACATTTTTACAGCACTATGGGATGCTCTGTAAGCTTACTACTCATATTCTTTGTGCATACGTATTTAAATAGCTGCAAATAACTCACATAGAATGACAAACAACTAAATGAATATTTCAGTCCCTGAAAGTGTTTCTGTTCTATATAGTCACAAAAGATGTATGAAAATGTGAACGTTTTGTGTTCTATTGTGTAGTCGGGTAGTTTGTTATATTTTGATTGTTTTATAATGTGGTTAATTATTAATAAGCTAATTACTTTCCTGCTGTCCTCTTTTTCTTTTCCAGAGCTTTTGAGATTTTGTTTTTCTATAAAGTAGACTGTTGAATTAATTTAAAAAAATCACAGGACATTCTATGTCTTATGCTCTGCATAGTTGTGTGATGGCTTTAGTATTAAATAAGTTATACTAAACTGCATCTTTAGTCTCATATCATTGAACATGATCATGAGATTAAAAAAGAAGCCTTTGAACTGACTGTCATTGAGAAGTATGCTAAAGTGGCAGGTCATAAGTTTGATCTTAAAGGACAGTATTTCTTTCCTTTATAGTACAGTGAGTCATAACCTTAGGCTTTTTTTCTTGCTGCACGAACATTAACTAAATTTTTTTGCTACAGAGCACTTTTTCTGTACAAAATGACAACCTCTTAAGACATGACACTTATCCAGCAGATGAGAATGTCTGTACAAAATTGCCTTCTAAATAATTATTTTTGACTGGTGCTTCAAAAGCAGTTTTGGATCATGAATAGACAGCTAGATTGTTCCCTGGTAATCCTGCACTTCTGAACTCAGCAAAATATAATCTTTACATTCTAAATGACATTTCTGCTATGAATTAAATATTTCTTTCACTGTGATGAAAATTTAGTGGTCAAATATTTTTATGTAAATCTGTCTGGAAAGAGCATCTGTTCTCCAGAAATAGAACTGTATAGATTACAATCAAATTACTTACCTGTTTTGATGAATCCGTTTCAAAATATAATTTTATTATACTAGCCTGCATGCATTGAATATGAAGATTCTAGTTCTGGGTGTGCATTAACAATCTTTGAAGTAACTCAAAAATTCTTCCAAGATGCACATATGTGTAATATGAGATAATTTTATCAGTGTGTTGTCTAGATTACTTTATGAGGGCAAAAGTATTTAAAATAACTGTCCCCCAACCATTGCTTTTTATTTGACATGGACTGTTAATATATTTAGTTTGCAGTACAACAAGACTTGATGGGAGCCTTTAGCATCTAAATAATTAACTTTAAATTAATAGTAAAATATGTTTTGTTTCTTGAATCTGAAGCATCATAAATGTAATGTCTGCAGAATTACTTTTCTGTATCAGTTTTTGATTGGGACTCAGTACATGCATAAATAGCAGTGGGTTGAATCAATGGTGATACCCATAGCTGTCAATGAAAGGGCCCTTCTTTGTGTGATATGCATGATTGTATGTAAACTCCACATAGTGAGGAACAATCATATTGATGAGTGGATATGTAACATTTTAGATATTGCTCTAAAATTTGAGGGATCCTTTCTTTCTGGCCATTGAACAGACAGTGACAGAAGAAGGAAAGGTATGGTAGGACCCTCAGCAGGCCCTCACACCAGAATCGGGCTTTAAATTGTAACCCAAAATCAATGGTGATGTATTTTCTCATGGCCCCGAATGTAAACATAATACTGGCCTCCACGTATGTGCTCAAGCTAAGATGTTGTGCCACAAGCTCTGTGATATACTCCATTGTGAAGACATTCAAATCTGATCCTGGGTCATTAAAACATTGTTTGTTTTTTTTTATTATGAGACTGGTAGCTTGTTTGTCAACCAGAATTTCTGAGGCATTGTCAGAACAAAGTGTGATGAGATTCTGGCAAAGAACACTATTCAGGAAGTTGAGGGGCTTGAGAATGAGAGCCATTTCCTTGTTAGGTCCATGTGGTTTTAGTATAAAGGCTCCAGGGGAAGGCATTGTCCTTGCTGTTTCTGATTCTAGAGCAATACGTGATGGTGAAGTTGAAACATAAAATAATTGAGCCCATTAAAGGTGTCACTGATGTAATACCTCTGTCTAGCACTGATACTCCAGGTTTTTGTGTCATTTTATATCTGGACTGTATAGTGAGCTCCTTCCAAATAATGTTGCTGCTATTCAAAGGTCACTGTAGTGGCTTGGATTTCCTTATCCAAGGTGTCCTCATTATATTTGAGAGTAAGCTTCCATGAATAATACGTGTGTGGGTATAGTGTTTTGTTCAGGTCTGAGTTGCTGGGACAGTATGACTCTGCTGTGCTAGAGGCATCAGCTTCTATTGGAAAGTTTCAAGTGGTATCAGGGTGGGCCAGTATGAGTGCAGTGATAAAGGTATGTCTTAACTGATTGACTGCATGTTGGGTTTGGGACCACTGGAACTAGACATTCTTCCAGAGCAGAACAAAGAGAATCAAATGCACATTGCTCAGGCTTAGCATAATCCATGTGCATGTAAAGTCTCATGAACTGCTTAAGCATGACCTGTGTGCTGGTCAGGATTGTCTCATAAGACCAGGATATTGTCTAAATAAACTAGTATACATTGGTCCAGAATTTCCTGAAACACTTTGTCTATAAACTGCTGGAAGGGAGTGGGGGCTTTGATCAGATAATACATTTTGCACCACGTATGCAAAATGACCACAGTGCATTTGGAGGATGGTCTTCCATTTATCATATTTCCTAATGTGCATGAGATTATATTCTCCCTGGAGGTTCAGCTTTTTAAATATATGCACAGATTTAAGTAAATAATTACTTTAAAGGTTTTAAAGAATATTTCAAGTCAAGATTTAGGTAATTAAACTGTTCACTTAGTTTGTTAGCATTTTGTGTTTTAAGAGTGGGGAAATATATATTTTTAAGCAGTGATGTGTTAAATATTAAAGGTACAAAACATAATTTTCAGTTATGAAATATGGAAAACTTAATTGAGTGATTGCTTTTCATAGAAACATCAGAAAAACAAAAATGATTGAATTATGTGCATATGTTGAAGCAAACGTAGAGCTATTTGTCTGCTTAATTATGCATCAGTAAATGGAAACTGTTCAGTTTCATTTACATAACATTTGTTGATTAATTAGTGCCAAATAATTGAATGGTTTAATGAAATAACAAAAAATCCAAGTTCCACTGACATGGTTTACATGGCTTATCTCTTACTTATTCAAATATTTTCTTGAATTTCAGGGGCTATGTATCAATCTCAGTATAAATCTCCTTCCCTGTGAATGGAAGGAAGCTATGTGTGTGGCCACTTGCAAGTATGGGACTGTGTACATGCATGCAAACATGTAAACCAAACACTTAAACAAATAGAGTTAAGGACTTCATAAAACTTAAACAACCCACATAATGAATTGGGACCCCACTCACCTGCATTTCTTCTCTGCAGTTGCAGAAACCTTTATTTGTATTTCAAGTGACTGAAAAGAACTGGGGATGGTTATATTAGAAATCCCTTTGTGTTGAATATTCAGATGCATAGTATGCAAGTAGTCATTTCTGTATGCTTGATGGTTCTGGCACAAATGCAATATGTTTCCAACAACATCATTTTACAGAAGAGATACTCTGAGAACTTGAGTTACAGATGAATAACATGTCTTAGTTATTTCATAGATCATCTTTTCTATGAAAAGTTAAGGGAGAAACTTTCAAGGGAGAAGGATAATTCTAACCTGTATTATGTTGTTTCAAATAGGTGAAGTGCCCCCTGTGAGATGGATAGTAAATTTTGACAGAGATCTTCTAGATGGTCTTGTATTGGCAGCACAGGTGGCAGCTTATTGCCCATATTTGGTAAGAACTTTTTCATACCTTTTTATTTAAAAAAAATTACTTTTTATATTTGGACACACATTAGTCTATTTATTACTACTGTTATTACCCACTTTCACTTTGAAACACAAGGCTTGAAGGAACTTTAAAAGATGAAGCTCCATATAGTAAGTCTTGATTATTTCAGTGATTACTCTTTTCTTGAGTATGCACTGATATGAACATTAAATGTATTAATGAGGACATGAAAAAATATGAGTTTTATTTTATCTTCTACACAGATCTCAACTCACTTTGTGAATATGTATACTAAGCCAAGAAGTCCAGAACAATGTCTGCACAATTGCTTGATACTCGTGAATGCTTTGCGTGCTATCAGTCTTTATATAGATGTACAGGTAAATGTTTTAAAATCACATGTGCTACATACATTTTAAATACTTTTTGTTATTTTATTAATAATACTTGGTATATTGTTTGGGTGAGAATCAGATGAATTGAACTGTTTGTGATGCACTTTAAAAAGTAGAAACTGAAATACTGCTTTATGTAAGACACTTGCATTGCTTTTACATACCCACATCCACGCTATATGTAATGAGACTGATTCCATTGAGGGGGTATGATATCATACACCACACAGTTGAGTAGTTTATTAATGTTGATGATCCAAGAATAATTTATAGAAAAATTGTTTGTTGCCAGACCTGTGTGCCTGGGGGCTCTCCAGCTGGCCTCGTCTCTGGGTAGGGGGGAGAACAAAGATAAGATGGCTTCATTAGAACCCTGCCCCCAGTTGGCCACTCCTTTTACTTTCACCTTTTCTGATGTATCTCCTATCACCTCCATAGTGGAGCGTGTAACAAAATTCATCCTGCTCCGTGGCAAAATATTAGCGGGAACACTGCTGTACATCTGCCAGCAAGAGATGCCAGCTGTTAACTTGGCTGTGTTGGCTGCCCAGCTGCATTTGCAGATTTTTAATAGTTCCATTCCTGAGATCAGGTGCAAAAGTATATATGCTCTTTGATCAGAGAGGTATTCCCCATCTTCCCTGAATAACTCAGCTAATGAATATGGTAATTTTTTGTTGGGTAGTCACTGATCCATTCGCTAGCATGCAAATTTAACCACCTCCTGAACCATGCACCTTCTGACCTTGTCAACCTTTGGGGCCTCAACACCTCTCCACTGCAACATTTCAGACCAATTCCCAGTTACCCTGGGATCTGCTTTGAATCTTCATGCCAACATGATTATGTCAACCCCTTTATATAATTTCAAATTGTTTTCATACACCAGAATGTCAATCCTTTCAGATGACTGCTTTCTGTGTGCCAAAGAGTGTGAGTGGGACATCAGCTGTCTCCTTGGCACATCCCCTTCCTTGTCAATTCAGAATCACTTCACCTCTGAAGCCCTACTGTGAATTGCCAGGGAAACTGGTTGCCTGCCTGTGGACCGAGTAATAAGACTGGGCCCATGGATCCAAATACTTGCTTTTTCACCCAGTTTCCTTGCTCCTCAAAATTGTCAACAACAAAAAATTGGCACATTAACACCATTGGTGTTTGGTTTCAATCAGGGGCCTCAAGTATGTCGTGTATGCCTTCACATGCCATCAAACTATTGCCTGTCTCCCCATAGCATTTATTCTAGTTGTGCTGCAGATGTGACCAGGTACTGTATATTCCGGCGTACAAGACGACCTCTGATGTTAAAAAACATCCCCCAAAAATCGGGGGTCGTCTTGTACGCCGGGTATACATCCCAGGCGCGCCTGGGATGCCCCACCACCGGAGCTCCTCCATGGCCTCCCCCGCGGCTCTGCAAAGCCGCGGAGGGGCTCCGGCGCGCGCATGGGCTGCCCCCCCTCCGGAGCCCCTCCGCTCCTGGCGGCTTTGCTCCCGGTGCCTCTGGTCTGCTGGGGACCATCTCCAGCAGACCAGGGACACCGGGAGCAAAGGAGGTGGAGGGGTGCTGGGGTATAAGATGAAACCCTATCTTTTAATTAAAAAGATAGGGGGTCGTCTTATACGCCCAGTCGCTCTATACGCTGGAAAATACGGTAAGTCCTGGAAGAAATGTTATGAAAGAATGAGATCCAAATTTGCCAGAAGGGAAGCTTGATTGCATAAGCCCTTTTTTTGCATAAGCCCTTTTTAAAGACTTCCACAAACTGCAATTTTTGAAGTAGTTCCTGTTATCATGAAGAAAGTGTGGTTATCTGCAGCCCACCTCAGCCCTATCTAAATTCATCTTGTGCAACTGGACAAGTCCTAACTTCCCCAAGTTTGTGCACTACTGTGGACTCACCTTACCATCCCTGGTCTGCCTTGGCATCTTAGGGTCAGGATGGCTGTTTACTCACTCAGCTGTAAGTCCCTACATTCCAAATCCTTGTGTGACCGAGGCAACAGATTACTGACTTTGAATGATCCCAAATATGCCAATGGGAGAATTGCCTTAGACAAAGATGCTTCCTGGTCACATCATCATACAAAGTAAAGAACTCCCTCCAGATTTCAAACAATCTGAATAGTGATGGATCTTCTCTATCACTGGTGTATTATAACCACTCACTTAATAGTCTCTTAATTAAAAGCCCACCAGAAAGATCGGGATAGCATGATACTATGCAAATGTGATGTCTGATAAGTGACTGGAAATGGCCAATGTTCCTGGTCTTCAGGAAATGGTCAGTTTACCCAGGATTACTCTAATTTGAATTTGAGTAAATTCTATAAAATAGCCAGTATAAGCCCTAGATTTTCATGTTGCTACTAATTGCTACACTAATCCAAGAGAAGCCATGAGGCAAAATTCCAAAGAGCTTGCAGTATTTGTCTAGGTTGTTTGTTGGCATCTGGTGACAAGTTTTGAAATCTCTCCAACTGTAATAGAGCCAAAGCATCTACTATGCTGTTATCAATCCCAAGGACTCTTTTAGCAACAAAATAGATTACATAAATTAAAACACTGCAATGAAAACGTCCTAGTCAACATCATAACCCTGCGTGATTTGCAAGGCTGGCTGTTTAACAACATGTATCATTGCCATGTGGTCACTCTAGGTCTTACTATTTTTTTTTCAGTTCACAAACTCTTTAGGGAAAAATCCGGAAATACTTTTATTGTTAACTATCCTCATTTGTTTCCACTCAGTGGACCATCCGTGGGCACATCACCTGCAGTGGTTAAAATCTTCAAACCCAGTGCTCCCTGAGGCATCTGCCTTAACTTTAAGGATTAATTTTAGCAATGAATTATGTCTTTAAAAATAAGCTTCATTAATGTGAGTTAGGCAACATTGCAGTACCTTTGAATCTTTCCTCATGTCTTTGTTCACTCTTGTAAAATTCATCCTTCTTATCCCTAAGCATGCACAACTTATATAATTGATCAAGACAGCTTATACAACCAAGAAAGTTACTTTGCATCTATTACTGTTCATGATGTGATTGCAGAGGCATTGGCCATTATCTTTTGAAAACTCATGGCAAGTAGGGGTGATTCTAGACAACTGGAAAAAGGCAAATGTAGTGCTCATCTTTTAAAAAGAGGAAAGAAGAGGAATTCAGGGAACTACAGACTGATCAGCCTCACCTCAGTCCCCAGAAAAAAATAATCGAGCAGGTCTCTAAGGAATCCATTTTGGAGCACTTGAAGGAGAGGAAGGTCATCAGGAATAGTCAAATAGATTAACCAAGGGAAATTCAGGCCTGGGTAGCTGATTGCCTTCCATGATGTGATAACTGGCTCTGTGGATACAGGAAAAGCAATAGCTGTGATATACCTTGACTTTAACTAGCAAGTTAAAAATCATGGATTGGATAAATGGACTGTAAGGTAGATAGAAAGTTAGCTAGATCATTAGGTGTAATGAGTAGTGATCAATGTCTTGAGGTCTAATTGGCAGCTGGTATGAAGTGGAATACCCCAGAGATTGGTCCTATGGCTGGTTTTATTCAACATCTTTATTCATGATTTGGATGATGAGATGGGTTGCACTCGCAGGAAGTTCATGAACAACATTAAACTGGGGGAAGAGGTAGATATGTTTTTAGCAGGATTTATGTCCCTCTGGGGTCTCATAGTCTAAATTTTTATATATATATTTGTATTGTGTTTTAAAATTTTTGTAAGCCGCCTCAAATATTTTAAATAGAGCGGTGGTGTAAAAATATTTAAATAAATAAAATAAATAAATACACTGAAGGTTAGAGACAGGGTCTAGAGTGACCTAGACAAATTGGAGTATTGGACCAAAAGGAATCTGATGAGATTCAACCAAGACACGTATAGAGTCCTGCACTTAGAACAGAAGAGTCCAACTGGCTAAGTGGCAGTTCTGCAGAAAAGGACTTGGCGATTATGTGGACAAGAAGCTAGATATGAATCATCAGTGTCTACTTGTTGCCAAGAAAGCCAAGAAAATATTGGAGGGACGTGATTATTTGGCACTGGAGAGGCCACATCTGGAATACTGCAGTTTTGGGCTGCATGCTACAGAAAGGATGAGGATAAATTGGAGAGAACCCAGTGGAGGACAATGAAAATGATTGGGCACATGACTTATGAGGAATGGTTGAGGCAACTGATTTTATTTAATCTACAGAAAAGAAGAGTTAGAAGAGGATTTGATAGCAGCCTTCAACTACCTGAAGTGGGGTTACAAAAAGGAAAGAGTTAGGCTGTTCTGTCATATGATGGCATATGGCAGAACAAGGAATAATGGTCTCAAGGTTCAGTGATGGAGATCTAGGCTGGATATTAGGAAAAACTACTTTAGTAAGCGGGTGGCAAAGCACTGGAATGGGTTATCTAGGGAAGTGGTAGAAACTCCATCCTTAGAGGTTTTTAAGACCGGGCTTGATAAAACCCTAGCTGGGATGATTTAGTTGAAGTTGGTCCTGCTTTGAGCACAGGGTTGGACTAGATGTCCACCTGAAGTCTCTTCCAACCCTCATCTTCTATGATCCAGTTATCTTAATTTTGCTATGACTCAGCATGCAAAATTAATATGACCAAGTTTATTTTCAGGGAGTCTGGAGATACCATCCTGTGTATCTAACTCTAGCGCTAAGTAGGTCAGCTTGCTACAGGGACCCTATTTTTCTTCTGCCAGAATTACTTTCAGGTACTGGCCAAGTCCTGAAATGGGGCCTTCAGGCTGGCATGCTCTTTGGAATTTGCCCTACCTGCAAACAAGGAGTTATCAAGCTAATGTGTATAACCCATCTTCAGCTTGGCTCCTGTGACAAAACCCAGTCCTTCACCACATTGACATTTTTAAATGCTGAGCATGACAGTGTGTCCAGTAGGCATGGCTTTGTCAAAATGAAATTGATTTTAAGAAGGAAAATATCTTTTATGATGTAGTGGTGGCAGCCAAAAA